TGAAAATTAGGTAAATGTTATCAAGCACATAATGTGTCATAGTTTCAATCCATGTCAATTTTGGGCATGAAACACTAGTCTAAGAGTAACATGGTAAGTGTCAGATTTGAAAATATTAAGTGGTCAAAGGAGACTTACATTATATTTAATACAACTCCTGTACTGAAGAAACAGAGGGAATTAAGTTTTGTAGTCACCTTGATATTGACCTTGATTGAGCAAAGCACATGAATTAATAGTGTCCGTCCTCTCCATAAGAATCATTCCTATAAAGTTGTACGAATATATGAGATATTAATTATCATCCAGAAACCAGCAAGTTTACAGGCTTCGAACAAATGCACCTCCAGAATGTTTAACCTTCATAATATTTAACTTTTCTTTTAGACCAATAAACGTTTCGCTTGCGCACTTTTGAAACAGTGAACCCTGTAAACATTGACTAATGAACATCCGGACTAAAACACAATCGTACCACTGTAGCTTCGGTCCATTCAACCCCTTATTTCAGAATGATGACTGTTGAATTAATGAACCTTAAAAATATAGATCATTTGCATTGTGCCCTGAAACTGTCAGACCAATGAACCTTGGTACAATCTCAATGTAACCGGACCCAGATACCCAGCAGTACACTGCAAAATACAATGAACCGATATAATAATTAGTAGTAACACAAGGTAAAAAAAAATGTTTATATTTTTATTATTTTTATTGTTGTTGTTGTTGTTGTTGGTATACGACACAAAATGGCCAATTTTAGAGTGAATCAAACAATACATCTTTTTGACACATTTTAGTATAGGTCAGTGGTCTGAAGTACGTAATAAATACTTTTACATCATTTGAACACGCCATGTGATTCGAATTAAATAACTGAAATTGATGCATTGCATTGACAATATCGAGTCTCAATTAATGTAATTGAATTATATAAGAAAAGGCGACGTAGTACGTGTAAAATCTTGTTTTAAGAGTTATGTCCCTTAAACTAAATTTTTGTGTTCGCTATTATACTGTTTAACCCTGTATAACCATGACCTCAATGACTTTGTTACATTTTCGCCTAAACCGGTTATCGAATAGCGATTGTATATATTGTATACAATAAGAACATGATCCATTTATTCAAATTTAAAGTATATCCCTCATGAGTACAAAAAGTCAAACATCGCAATACTAAATGCATATGTCTGTAATGATAATAGAGATTTGAATATGGAACCTTAATTTAATGGCATACTACGTTTTAACCATAGCATTTATTACTTCAAAGTCTCCATGTAAATTTGAGTCTTATTGAATATATGTACACTGTCCATATTTACATTACAAGATTAGGTATGCAAACAATGCATAATACAGTTTTCTGCACATGTGTTTTTCAATACATGCAAAGCAATAGTAATCACGAGTAATTATTAATTAATAAATATAAGTGTAAACATTCAGTATAGTGTAGATGTAAATCTGGTTAATATAAATGCTATAAATTCTACAAATGTCGAGTTCGACAGTAGAATACAATATGACAAGAGAAAGGGAACCCCAAATATAATGTTTTAAACCCCAGCCACTCAGGCTTTTAAATTAGAAAATTACTTAATTTATGGAACGATGATTTCAAGAAAACTACACAAACTAAGGCAACTGTTCTAATTTAGATAAGCAAAAGTTTAATCAAGGTAGTAAGACAAGAGTTCACATTTCGAGCCCACTTTCTCTCTCTGGAAAAATATTATCCAAAATAGCGCAATTGTCGACTACGCCTACAACTGAAATGTGACCACTACGTTTATCTTTTCCACAGATCCTTTCATACAATATATGCCAGATAGACATCATATGCTGTTGTCAATTTACAGTGGTGCCACAATAAAAAGATTATCAGAAGCATGCGGCCTATCATAACAAGTTTCCGGTTGTCTTTTATAGAACACGGGTATGACCATTAATTTCCATTTTTAGTAGAATGTAGTTAATTATTTTGAACGTGCATCATTGCATTTAAAACATGCTACATTATTTTGGCTCCTGCAACAGCGAAAACATTCGGGTATTATTACATTCTACCTCATGAAACATTATATTTCTTTAGATTCTAAGAGGAGAGTTTGAAATGAGCTTAATTTCTCCCAATGGCAAGAAATGTTACCTTTCATTCTTATTATTTATATTTCGAATATTTTCAGGCATTTTTCATAAATTCTTCACTGAAAATATAATATCTGGCAGGCGCAATGACTAACGATATACAAATTAATAAGACACAAGAATTGTTTGCCATTCAATTTATCTAGCAAAGCTTTTGTTAGCGAAGTTTATATTAGTACAAAAATATGCTTAAAATAAGTAAAAGCAAAGCAGCTTTGTTTAATTCAAAATTAATTTATTTCTCTGGATTACAAAGAGAAAATGTAAAACAAATTAAACAAATACCGTTTTGCGAACTAAATCCAAATTAATCCTCCAATAAAAGTCCTAATGACTGAATTTCTGAATACGCTTTAAAAGGTATTCCAAAATAACTCCAATACCGTAAATTACCAACGTTGAATTTGGAATTATATTCCTTTGCACACGTGAAAATATTAATGAAACCGCACATAAAATGCATTTTGTTTGTCATTCTTACCCTTTGCTTGATTCGACACTGTAAATATCGGAAGCATACGACATATGTATGTACATCTTTAGTCGCGCATTCACCCCTTTGCTGAAAATGGAATTGTATAAGAACTGTAAATGGGTATCAAGCATGTCAGTCTATTACATTGAAAACTTTAGTTAAGCATAAAACGCGCAGACGATGACGGTGTTATGGCCATTCTTCTCACAGTCGGGTTAGAAAATATAAATCAATGAATGAATTAGCTAATACATATTAAGTACAAATTTAAGAAAAAAAATATTGTTTACTCATACAACTTTGCCCCATACCCTATATTCTATTGCTATCCAGTCCTGTCATCGACAAATATATACACTAGTGCCTTGCTTTTCGGCTCTTAATCTATAGCCAGAGACACTCTAGCGAATGTGTTAGGGATTACCCTCAAGTGTTGTCAACTGATCACTATGGATGATTTCAGTATTTAAAAGTAATACAAGGAAAGACATTTTAGTTGAGAAAAGCTAAAATAACAAAGTCGCAATATTAAGAACATATCTGCTTAGATCAGACATTTTTCATTGAAAAGTTTATGAATGTAATAACTGTTTATATTGATGTTGAACGCATCAGTAAAATAAACAAAATCGAATGTATAACCCAAAATGACCCCAGTATCTTGAAATCCATAAACGTAATTTTGTGTCCTAGTTAACAAGCTTAGTACTCCATGTATCATTACGTAATCATGCATAAAATAACATTTGTGAGTAACCTATTTGGATATTGGATGAACTACTATCGCCTGGGAATACATGAATGATTGATACAGCTAGAGTAGAAAATCAGAAAACATTACCCAAGGACATATCTCTATTCATACTTTACTCACATTAAAGAAATACATAGACAATCTGATAGTTACTGAAACATCAGACAGTACATACCTCCAACAACGTTTCTTATTTTTATTGATAATTCAATAGACATTCTTACGTGATCTGATGTATATTTAAATCAGAATGAATTCTTTTTAATGTTCTTTACATTGTGGAATTGATACAATCAGCTAAATAGGTAGACTTGTACGTAAAGAAACGTGGATAATCTTTCCTCCCACCCTTTCTTCCTGGAATACCCTCTGTGGAAGAGTTCCTATCCATTTGTATGAAACTCAATTTTAGAATATGCAGCTGGCAGGCTCTAAATGAATCTTAGACATATACTATTACATGGTATAAATGGCTTCAGTAACTGGTCTTTATTTCCTTTTGGAAAGACGTTTTATGAATTAAATAGGTAGTGCTCCCTAGAATTAGAAAACATAACTTTTTAACTGATATTTTGAGTATTTAATAAGTGACGGTTCAACCTTAAAACTTATAATGTATTTAAATAAAATGTTCGTAGACTGTATATTCAGTTTTTAAACAAAGGTTTTAAGACAAGATAAGATAAGATAAGATAAGATAAGATAAGATAAGATAAGATAAGATACGATAAGATAAGATAAGATAAGATAAGATAAGATAAGATAAGATAAGATAAGATAAGATAAGATAAGATAAGATAAGATAAGATAAGATAAGATAATACTTCTTTATTTCAGACTGTATAGTCCATGCATCTAAATTAAAATACGGATATAAAGTTAAACATTGTAAAAATAAAAGAACATATATATATATATCATATATACAAGTATGCATATACATCTAGAACTATTAATTGCGCCCTGCAATGTTAAAAATGAAATTAAGTGGCACATTTAAAGAGTAATTTGTTCCATCTACTAAAAATATGAGAATTTAAATGACTGTCATAGTTCCATAGTGATTGGAAAAATGGCCTCTACATATCACTGTTGTACTTATTATTTACTATTTAATTAATTTTGACACTTGAAGAAAGAAGAATCTGTACAATATTGCTCAGACAGGTTAAATAAAAGTAGTATTAAAAACTGCATGAAACATGTGCTATAATGAGTAGCAGACTAAATTGCCACAAATGAGAAATTAATACAAATAAATTAATTAATATGCGGCCACCACACTATTTCCTCTCGAATTCTGACACACACACACACGTCCTGCCATAAATATCCTTTGTACAATGTTTTTTTTTATTCTATCGCTTGCGTAGGTGTGTGTGTGATTTAGATTTTGAACGTAGCTTTAACAATTTTGTCAGTCATATCGCTAAGATGTCTTCAGTGTGACAGTTTATAGTGAGGTCTAGCACTGGCGTATCATACCGCAGATATTTGGCATGATGTCCCACCTAGTCACGTTATCCTGACACCAGGCCAACCAGTCCTAACACTATCCTCTTCATGCTGAGCGCCAAGCGAAGCAGCTATTAGCACCATTTTTAAAAGTCTTTGGTATGACTCAGCCAGGGATCGAACCCGCGACCTCCCGCATCCGAGGCGGACGCCTTTACCACTAGGTCACCGCTTATGTATGAACGTAATTGTCGTTGGCATTTCATATTTATCAGATATATTAAGAGAAAATGAGCAAACATTGGCGTTAAATCAATTCAATATGTTATTTCAGTACTAAATAAAAGGGTGATATTTGAAGATCTATACTTGCAATCTTATAACGACTAACTGCAAAGACAATGTTGTGTTTGTTTCCAAAATTATTTTATTATTGTTTTTTTCACACTGTATAAAGTCATACAAATTGAAGTTTATGTAACTTAATACATATTTACATGTGACTTGAATGCACCGATCGTTATATTGTAATAGTTCTTCAGACTAAGCTACACTTAGCATCTTCTCATTCATTGTGAATGAAGAATACGAAGTAATCGAACATATTTCATAATAAGATTCATAAGCAGAGATATATTGATCAGACTAATATTGAAACCGCTGAAATATGCATATAACAGTTTTAAAAAAAAAACATATTTTAGTTTGTGAACTCAAAATTGGAAACATGGGCACTACAACAGCCTTAACCTGGAAATTTGCATGTAGGCCCCTTCGACAGCCGGAAGATCGTTTATAAACCTAGAAAGGGTTTATGGGTCAGAAAAGAATATCGGTCGTAGGTGAATGAGTAAGGGTGTTTTAGTTTAAATTTTAAAAATAGACACTCACCAGCAAACACAAATGCACTACAAAGACCAAGGGTCTTTTTGGCAAGAGTGAGATATTAAATCTTTTATGGGCATGAAAAGAGTTTCTTCTACTATTTCCATCCCCTCCAGTTCTTCCACTATCTCCTCATTGTGTTTTTGTTAACTTCAGTTTCTTCTTTCATCCAGTCCGGATGCTCCATCCACCAAATGTGTCATGAACCTGCATCTAGTTCTCATTCAAAAAGTGCCTTGAATCTTTATCTAGTTCTCATTCAAAATGTGTCATAACCCCTTATCTAGTTCTCATTCAAAATGTGTCATGAACCTTTATCTAGTTCTCATCCAAAATGTGTCATGAATCTAGTTCTCATTCAAAATGTGTCATGAATCTAGTTCTCATTCAAAATGTGCCATGAATCTAGTTCTCATTCAACCTCTCAAAAACTTCATTTTTTTCCCTCTTCTTTTATTTATTTTATACTCAATCAAATGACTTCTGTACTTATGGAGAGAAAATGAAGGATGGATATATTTTCTTAAAATATATTTAATGTATCTTAATATTCTAGCTGCAAATTATATATTTATTTTATAAGTCTTGAATTAATTGGAATGACTATTACAATCTATGTCTTAATTTTCTTTAATGAATGTATGATTTAGTTCTTATTTAATAATTTTTGTATGTACGTGTACATTTCTTACTTATTAGGTAGACAGGAATGTGTAGGTTTCATGTACTTTGTTAAGGAAAACGTATATGATGAGGAGATAAATGTGAACAACACATTTATTAATTAATATCTGCATAAATAAGTTTTTGCTTGTTTAAAATATGTCGAGTTTTACTAAGCTGATATCAAGAATAATATAAACGAGTGTTAGGGGCCCCGAGTGGCCGAATGGTCTAAAGCGCTGTCCGTTACGGATCACTGTCATCTCACCTCTGTCTGCGTGTGTTCGAGTCTAGGATTCGGCTAATGTAGATATGTGAGAAAGCTTGCCAGTAGCTTCTCATGGGTCGGTGGTTCTTTCCGGTGATTTACCGGTTTCTTCCTCCACCATTAATACTGGCCGCCATGAATAGCCTATCGTGTGCTGAAAAATGGCGTTAAGCCCAACAACAACAATATAAACGAGTGAGAGAACTATTATTATTGAAATAGAAATGTCAAATTTGAATTCTTTATTCAAAATCAAAACATCAATTTAAAACGTTCACATGAAAACAACAATCTATTGAAACAAATATCTATATTAGAATGTATGTGTTAGACATGGGGTTAAATGTATATTTCATTATACTTTCTTTGATTTACATTAAAATACCTGTTCAAATCCCATTTCGTCTACCTTAACCCATTAAAATCTTACTATCACTACGAACACTAACGACCCATTTGTTGGCGCCATCATCTCGAAACATGAGCGTGAGGTCAAGGAGGAGCATGACGCACGAATCAAAGACTGGTACAAAGTTAAGATGGTCAACGAAACAGTCTCTGATCGTATTCCAGAATTGTCAACTGGCTGTTTATCTGTGGAAAGGAGTCATTATCCAATTCCGACCAAACTGAATCAGTATACTTTCTCTCAACATGTGAAACCCCCAATTTATTCTATTATATACCCCCATCATCAGGGATATATAGTATCAGTATTTCAGTGTACTGCACTGTATTTGTGCCCATTTAAGTCCCAGCTAGAGTTCCATAAAGTTCATTTGTTTCCATCTAGTTCTGGTTATATTCGCTGTCTTCCATTATCTGTCACTATCACTTACTAAACTCTTCATTTTGGACTGATGATCCTTCGAATCAATGAACCTTCGAAATACTGAGATTTTTTTTCCGACCAATACAAATTGGGACTATTGAAATTACAGAATAATCTTCTCAAGTCATTTAGGACAGTTGCCGCTCCCTGTGAAGTAACATAACTTAAACGCTGTAAGTTTGATTCCCAGTTATTGCATTTAACTTGTATTGACCAGAGATGTACGTGTTCATGTGCGATTGGAGAGTTATGTCCCTTAGACCAAATTGCTGTATTTGCTATTATATCGTTTAAGCCTTTAAAACCAGGATCAATTCATTTCATGCCGTTGTTTCACTTACATTCAAAGCGGTTATATATATATATATATATATATATATATATATATATATATATATATATATATATATATATATATATATATAAATATATATATATATATTATCGTAGATATTGGCCACGGAAAAGCTGAAGAGAAATAGTCAACGTAGACTATATTATTCAGAGATCACTAGAAAATGCAACATTCAGTAATAATTAAAACTCTATAACTATTTTCAAAAACTGATATTTGAATTTCGTGTTTACGGCTGCAGACAGATCGAAGTGAACTAAAACTAATGGAGAAAATAAAACTTGCTGTTTGGGAAAAAAAAATCATTTCCCATCATTGACTTTAACCAAGCTAATAGGGAAATATGTTTTGATTACCAGTGTCATGTAAATTTATTTTCTCGGTATCCTTTTTCCTCTTTGTTTCAGTTCGGTATCAAAATGCGAAAAAAGACGAAACGAAAGACAGTACCATCATATTATTTTGTTTCTAAAATATAACTTTGGATAGATATTTGCAAACGATGTGAATGTAAACTACAAAATATTTTCTTCATAATTTCTTCCTATCGTGGTACAATTTGAAGCAACTCAATCATTTTGTATACATCACGCGTTGAAATAAGTTCACGGTGGTATCTGATTGTTTATCAAAAAATCTCGTCAATTTTGCGATTTGATATGTAATATTACATGACCTTCTTGGTGGTCTTACGAAGTATTTGATACACATCATTCAAACATAATATCCACTGAATTAGATAGGCTGCAACTTCTGAACGAATACATCAAAACCGTCAGCAGTGCCTTAATACAGTAATATAGTAAGCCAGTTCCATAAATACGTGTAAATTAAAAGATTATTCATTCTTCTTCTATGCATGAATATATAAGCGTAGTATCAGACGTTTCTATAATATATTATATGTAATGACATAAAGCTATTTTTTATAATAAAAACTACCATGTTCCAGGCACACTATCATCGACGTTCTTTACAAGACAAAAAAATCAAAATGCACCCATTTTCACTGCATTCACCATGATATAGACTGGTGAGTGCATGTCTAAAATGGTTATGTCAATTAGATAAAAAGTTTGTATGTAAATACAACATGCGATAGTAGCTGTGGTTTCAGCTACAAGCACATAGTATGGAATATAACCAGTTACGGCATAATTTTGATTTTGTTTAACCTTATCGCCGTATTTGTTTAAACATGTCTAAGAAAAAGCAAATCACTGCTTTCATCAGAAGAAGTCTGACAAAAGGAAATCAAATAGATGTTTCTGAAAGGAACGATAGAAGTCTGACAAAAGGAAATCAAATAGATGTTTCTGAAAGGAACGATAAAGTTTGAATTTCGAGGAGGTATGTAAGTGTCCTTTTGGTGTGGATATCAATAACGTATGCCAATTATACAAGTTCCAAATAAAAACAATTGCATTTTCAGTAGCTAGCTTACTCGTGGTCCAACCGTTACCGAGTGCAAGACGCCATGTAGAATATAAAATATTGAAGATAAAATAGTCAATGCAACAATAACTGTATAATGGTGTATTCAGTAACTGGCGAGTCATTTTGGTAGGCTAAATTAAATGTACAATATAAACATACCAGAATTAATAATCATTGCTCTTTACTCAGTGACGTTTTATTGTTCATATGTAACTTTCAAGTAAAATGTCAACTCAACATTTCTTTGTTCTCTGCAATTTATGTCATATCATTCAAAACTAAATAATTGTTTTATCAAAGGTTTCATTTTTAGTTTTAAATTGAAAATCGATACACAGAAACTAAATGCTATATTGACAGGTTAAAATGAGTCAAAAGAAATGTTTATTAATCAAAATGTCCATTTCTTCAGACCATTAGGAAGTGCAATTAATAGAGTCATCTCTATTCTGACACTTGTACAGGCATAACTAAATACTACATAGGTGTTGCTATTCACTTCCATGGGTATACAATAGAGCCAATTGAATCAATCGTTTGAGGTTATAAATTCAGCACATACATTCCATTGCATAAACATGGTCCACTTAATTTAAACGCACTTTCCCTATGAATACAAACAATCTAGCATTCCTAATTTGAAATTGCATGTCTGCCATGATAACCGAAATTTAAGTATGCAACTGTAGTGTATAGGATACTAAATCTAAACGATTGAATCTAATGTTATGATTCAATATGAATTCGAGTCTTATAAAATGTAGGTTCACAGCCCATGTTCATTTTGTCAATA